TCTTGGGGCGAGAAAAAGGAGACTTTTCCTCGCAACCATCCCGGAGTTGCATCATCCGGCCTGTCAGCCCCTACAAGGGAGCACTGGAAAGTTGTCCTCACCCTTTCCCCTCCTGCCTGGAGGCCTCTCTGGGGCCCTTAGCCCGCTCCGGGCCACCAGTAGCCAGAGGCTTTTCTGTCAGAGCTGGGACATCAGCACCCAAACAGGCACCCAGACGGGACCTGGCTAGCATGGGGTTACTTTTAAGGGGAGGGGGCAACTCCCAGCCACATTTGGGGGAGCTGCCTGCAGCCCATGAGCTGAGCCCAGCTTCGGTCTCAGGGAGAAAACATCTTTACCACAGTGGCCGATTTACACCAGGAGAGGGATTTAACTCCGTGGTTTTCTCACATCTGCCAGGTTGCTTCGGTGCAGGGCTCGTTTTCACACACGTCTCCCCGCACTAAGACACAGTTTGCGTTTTCCCAAGGGCAGCGAGGATTCACTATTCACCCCCCAACCTTGTTTTTCGGGTTGGGTTTGGCAGAGGAGCTTCCAGGCTGGTGGGGAGAAGGACCAGGGAGCGGTGGGAGGGACGACGATCTCCGAGCCCCAGAGAAAGGGCTCATTGAAGCAGGGATGGGCATTTGCGGTTCCTGGCACGGCACAGCGGCTGGCGGTGAGCTTCTTGGGGCCAGGATGTTCTCTTCATCTTGGTGGTCTGCTCTGCAGACCCCCTTGCTGCTGCATGGTGGCGTTGGCACGTTTGGGCATGCACCGCCACAAAACCCACCCCACTGGTGATCCATGGGTTCCAGCAAGTTGGTTTTGAGGTTATAGGCTCGTTAGACAGCTCAGCACCGATATTGCTGAAAGTCCCACCAGGATGGCAGCAGCTCTTCTCTCTGCTGGGTCAGGAGAAAACATCTCTCTTTGGATGCCACCAAACTTGAGGCAGAACAAAGACCGCTGTATCCTGACCACGAAGCCTGGGCTAGTCCTGTCATTCCTGTGCCCGACACCAGCCCCTGAATCCTTTCAGGGCAGTGCTTTTTTAGGGACATGAGGAGCAAGGACCACAGCTAAGTGCACTTCCTCAGGGGGATGATAAGCAGTGGGCAGAAGATGAGCTCGTGCACCTGGAGTTGGAGAGCACATGTGATGGAAAACAAGTCGTTTAAGTGGTTCTTCTGTGTACCAACGGCCACTGCCGCTGCTCCAGAGCGTGACTTCCCATCTCTGCCCTCACCTGCACACTTCAGCTTCTAGGGGTTGGCTTTGCCAGGAGTCCCCAGTTAAGAGGAGAGCAGAGGACCAAGCCGAGGTGGTTTGAAGCATCGAGGGGCAAAGGCAAGAAGGGAATGAGGAGAAGAAACAAGCACAGAGGAGGACAAGGAGGGGGACATCACCTCTGCCCATCCACACCAGGATTTCTCCGTGCCCAAGCCCTGTCCCTGCCTGAGAAAGAAGGACTTTGCACTCCCAGCTTTCTCCTCTGATGGGCAGCTCCTGGGCTTCAATTTGATGAGGCTTGAGGCTATTCTAGGCAACTTTTGTAAACATCGTAGGAGGTGACTTTTTTCTTTTTCCCCTTCCTTTTTTTTTAGCTTGAACGCACATGTTTTTTAGCAAAAAATACCTGCCTGGGGAGCATCCTTAGCTGCACCGGAAGGCAAACTGAAGCGGTGCCATGCTCGTGCCATGCCTTGGAGAAGAGCCAGGGGCAAAGATCACAATTACCGGGAGATGAAAGCAAAGAATGAAGCATCCGCTGGCCTCAGGAGGAAGTCGGAGCGGAAATCATTGACAGAGTAAATACAGAGTGGGTTATTTTTGCTTTCTTTTTCATTTTTTTTTTTTTTTTACCCAGGTTGCAGACAAAGAGCAGCAGGGAGAGCAGATAAGCGTTGGTTGCGCCTTATCTCTTTGTTGTTCCTCCCTTGTGTTTTGCTGGCTGGTGACAATGCTGTTAATCTGATGAAGCAAAGCATCACGGAGGGAGTTACTCAGGGGGGGCAGCGAGCTCAGCAGCAGGTCCCCATGATCTCCCTTCTCCCAGGAGCCAGGCAGGGACGGATGGGGCTGGCTGGACAGAGGGATCTCAGGCAGGGAGAGATGCTTGCAAGTAGGTGTTTCACCGCCGTTCCTTGTCTGGAGTTCAGTTGTTGCCTGTTGAGTCACCGGAGGAAAATGTGACTTCATGCAAGTCACACCTCCAGCTGGCTTCCCCTCGACCCCGCAGGCGTCTTTCCTGGATCCCACCCAGTAGGTGTTCGGGATGGGTGGAGGAGGGAGATGAGAGCCCCGAGGCTACACAGAAACCCCTCCTTTTCCCCAAATCAAGCCAAAAACTCCAGCTCTACTCTCCCAGGCAGGCAGAAGGGTGACAAGAGCATCCCATCCCCTCACCTCTGGGCCTTGCCATCCTTATCCTGGGGCCGTGCTGCTCTTCCCACCCCACCTACAACACCAGTGGGAGCGACCATCCGACGTGCAGCGCACTCGAATGATTTGGCATCTCTGTTACTGCCCGAGTCCTTCCTTCTTGCCATGGCAGGGTTAAGTTTAACTTGCTAGTAGTGGCAGATATCCACCCAAGCAGCAGCATTGCACAGGAACAAAACCCCCCACCATCCCCTGAAAGAAAAAAAAGCCTCTTTTTGTTGGCTCAAACTCAGCTGGGAAATCCACAAAGCCTTTTATCATCTCGACAGCGAGAACTGCAGCAGCCCTCCCTGCTGAAATGAAAAGCATTTCCAGCCTGAGGGATAGGAAAAAGCAGGGAGCAGCCGTGTGGGGCGTCTCAGTTTAGCGCTCATGGAAATTATTCCTCCTTGCTTTCAGATGTGATGTCTGTCAGTCTTTCTGTCTGTCTCCTCACGCTGCCAGGTCTCCCTCGAGGTGGTAGCAGAATCCCGGCAGCTCTCCTTGCACCTCTCGAGGCCCGACGAAGCCCTGGAGGGGAAAGCACGGGCTCACAGAGCCCCTTCTGTTCCTGCTCACAAAGGGACGCTTGTGGCTCGCTTGCTGCCCTGGCCGGGCTGCGCCTTGCTGGGCCCCAGCACAAGGAAGAGATTTAAGGGTGTCGAGAAGCCCCAGCCAGCCTTGCTGGGTCACCCCGCGTGTCCCCCAGCCCCACGGGCTCAGCCCTGCGAGGGCCTTCACTCTTCTTGCCGAGTCCCGGGGCAGGACGTTTACAGCCGGCTGTTTATTTAGCGAATTATGTCTGCTCAGAGCCCTGTGAATCAGAGGGGTTTTTTTTCCAGCACCGCTGGAAATGGCTCTCTGTGTCATCCCTGCAAAAATTCCCGCTCTGGGGCTCAGCTGTGGCTGGCTGGGGTGAGAGGAAAGCTCCAGACTGGCTTTGCCCAGGGATTTCGATGCCATCCCCCTTGGCTACATGCGTGGTCCAGGGCAGCGAGGGGGCAGTCCCCTGCCTTGGGGATGCCACGGACCCAAAAAGTCCTTTGTGGCAGCAAAGCTGGTGCTGAGAGATACGGCCGCACGCCCGGGGCTTTGTATATTTTATTTTTTCGCCTCAGCGTGGCGAAAGGCACCTGCCCTGGCTGCTGACCTGTCCCTAAGGACCAGTGTGCTGACAAACTTAAACTAACAGGGCTGTCAAATACACACACACATATGTGGGATGAGGGATGCTGGTGCTGCTCGCTGCAGGGAAACCGCTGCAGGAGGGCTCGGAGGTCTCTGGGGTCTCCACGTCTCACCAAAAC